AGTTTTTGCCCCAAGCCGTTGTCTCATTGGATTCTGGGCCTTTTTCTGGCTATATCAACAGACTCTTTATTGTGGATCATTCCCATCAATCTGGCCTTTGGGGTGTCCACCTAGCTCACAGTGCCTTGCCATCATGGTCCCGGTACCTGGCAATGTCCCCTTGGTCTCACTTGATTGGACCAGGGGTGACATTTGCTCACAACAGGGCCAATTAGATTCTCTCTCCAGGAAGTTAGAACTGGGAGGTGGCTGGGCACAGCCTGAGCTGGTCCCTGGAACAAGGAAGATGTGAACCCCCATGCTGGTGGGATGGTCATGTCCACAGCGAGTGGGTGAGGCCTGGCTGCAGAGGGGGAAGGATACGAAGAGGTGAGAAACACACAGAAAGCACTGCCAGGGGGCCTGACCCCTTTCAGGACTGATTCTAGTTCTCTGAGGGTTTGGGCTGTTCTTGGGTTCCACAATACCCCAGTATCCTACCAAGAAGCCCCCCTCTCTGCTTAAGCTAACTTGAGTGGGTTTCTGTTACTTGCAACTTGCACATTGGTCAAGATCTTGCCCCAGATCTCCCCACCGGCAGGGCGTGCACTGCCCCCAAGAGTTCCTGCCAATGTTAAGATGTGGAATCCACCCGGTACCCCTCCTCTCCAAATCAGCAAACCCATCCCCTGAGATCCTGAGGACCACACAATTAGCACCTGTCAATGCAGAGGGGTCGCCATCTTCCCCTCCTTTTGGCTCCCCTTGCTAAGTAATGCCCATCACAGAATGGTACCTCCAGGTCTCCTCGACTCACACCATTAGTGGTCTTTGCTGCCGAATTGAGGCTCAGTGACGTTCTGCAGCTGTTGAATGGGTGTGGCGGGAACAGACGAGAAACTGGAACTCCCCGGCCTTGGCTCTTATGTCCAGCTCAAGAGACTCCAATGAAAACAAGTGAAGAAGACGACATTGGTGTGAGTTCAAGACCCGTCAGTCCCACGGCAGCCACATCAAGATAGGAAAGAAAGACCCTGATCTTTGCACTGAATGATCCCACCCCACCGTCTGCACTCATGTGGTGGTCCTCCCACCAGCCCACCTTGGTTCCGAGAGAGCGAGCAGGAGGGGCTGGAACCTCTCCAGGGTGTCCCGACCAGGCCCACGCGTTCCTTTTTCCGGGGTTGGGCTGCATTATGACCAGAAGGACCTTCTCCTTTGTCTCAGACTCTCCATGACTTAACTCCTGCCTGGACGGCAAACAGGACCCTTTGCTGGGATTTCCAAGGATATCAGTGGCCAGTCCCTGCCCAGGAAAACTGTTGGGTGCATCTGGTCCTTTCCCATCCAGAACCTTCCAGGAGACCACGTTGCCCATGACACACCGTCTTATTCAAATTCAAATGTTATTTTTTGGAAATTAGATTCTAAGATTGCACAATGATGGAAAAATTGATCAAAATTAAACTTCTCTGTCTCTCTTTTTACTTTGTTGGCCCTGATAACAATACTATTAACTAATACTTGCCATGTGCCAGGCCCTGTTCCAATTATTTTCTGTATCTTTGTCCCTGAGGGAGAAAGCTGCCATTGTCAGCACCCCCATTTTACAGATGGGAAGCTGAACACAAGGCCAACAGCTCGGAAGTGGAGGAGCCGGGACTGGGACCCAGCCTGACTGGTTCCAGACGATGGCAGCAACCAGCAAGTTACGGACTCAGTCTGCTGCTTGAATAATCTGGCCTGGGAGGAGTTGTAGCTCAGAGAGGTTGGGTGACTTGAGCAAAGACACACAGCTGCTGCATGATGGAGTCAAGATTCAAACCCATCTGTCTAGATGCAAAGATGGTGCTCATTCCACTGGATGGCCTGGTTAGCTCCCTGGGAAGGATGGCTTCTCTTTTATTGCGTGTCTGCTTGGTGCCAGGCATTGTGCTGTGTGTCTTCATATATCTTGTCTGCTTTAAAACCTGGAGAGGGTTTAAAACATGTCTGCAGTTCTCTGATCTCCACCTGTCGAGAAGTGATCTATGTCCTCTCTCCTTGACCCTTGGCAGGCTCTGTGATTCGACCAAGAGGATGGCAGAAGTGACGTTCTGTGACTTCCAATGCCAAGTCATAGAAGGTCATGCACCTTCCGCCTGGCTCTCTTGGGAGGCTTGCTCTGGGGGAAGTAGTCTGATGACCCTGAGACTGCCTTCCTGGAAAGGCCACGTGGAGGGGCTTCGGTCTGCAGCCCCAGCTGAGCTCCCACCACATCGGTAAACCATCATGAATGTCCAGCCCAGTTGTCCTGCGGATGTTGCAGCCCCAGCCAGCATCAGACCACAGCCGCATGAGAGACGCCTAAGGAAGAACCGTCCACCCAGCCTGTCCCGGATTCCTGACCTGCAAAATAATGAGCGAAATAAAAGGGTTGTTTTAAGCCACCACTTTTTGGGGTCACGTGTTACACAGCAATAGTAACCATGCCATCCCGTTGGAGAAACATTAACCCGACTGAGAGATTCAAGAGAAATGAAATAGTCCAGAAACGCCCCGTGGGTTCACACTGCAGCTAACCCAAACTCCCTAGTCCCTTCAGGCCATCTGGCTTAGAGGCTAAGTTCACGGGCTGTGGTCCTGGGCACCTGCATTGGAGTCCCAACCCCACCGCTCAATAGCCAACTGACCTTGGGCAAGTGCCTTGCCCACCCGAGCCTCAGTTTCCCCATCTATGAAACAAGGCCAATGATAGCCCCTCCCCTGACCGGGTTGTGAGAGTTCACAGGCCAATGCCCGTGAAGCCCTGTGCCCAGAGCCCGGCACGTGTGAGTCCTGCTGAAGTCAGTGGGCAGTGGTGGGCACGGTCAGATGCCAGGCCAGAGAGGCTCAGCAGGGCAGAGGAGAAGCAGGGGGCAGAGGAGGAGAAGACCACAGAGGGAGAGGAAAGGAGACACGGGGGGGGCGGGTCTGGAAGGTTCCGTGGTGTGAGGGTGCTTGGGTGGTAGCTGCCAAGCTGGACGAGAGTTGGTGGCTCGGCCAAGGCATGACATTGTAGAGAGGTGCCCTCAGGTTGCAGCTCTGCCGGCGATGCTCCTGGAACACCTGGGGTGGAAAGGCTGACCCCAGAGCCATCCCGGACCAGCAAGGAGCCTGCAGGGTTGCCATAAAAAGCATCGGTAAGGAGATGGAGGTCCGAGTTAGCAGAGCTGTGGTGGACATTTCATTATTAACCACCCCCCCCCAAACACTGAGCACATGAGAGATCCGATCCTGTGTAGCTACCTTTCCCCTCTGCTGGGACGGGGCCTCCATTTATCCCATTCCCTGTACCCAAGTCTTAATGCCTGCACATAGGCAGTGGAACTGAGTAGGCGAGAGCATGAGTTCAAATCCCAGTTCCTCCATTCAGGAGCTGTGTGGCCTCAGGAAAGCTGCTTACACTCTCTGTGCCATTTCCTGAAAGCAACAGCACCAGCCTCAGAGGTATGCCCTTTGTCAAACCGAGGACCGTTGTTCTGGAGCAGTCTCTTGTTCACCACTGCATGCCCCAATGCTGGGAACAGAGCCCAACACACAGTAGGTACCTAATAAGTATTGAATCAATGAATGTTGAGCTGAGAACGGTGCTTCAAAACTGAAAGAAAGAAAAGTAAAAGAAATGAAAAAAGAAGATAGCATTATTCTTTATCTGCATTTGAGCTGCACCAAAATCTTGGGCACAGGTTTCCAGCTTTCTGAATCTGTGTCACCCACGCCCCGCCAGTCACCAAAGGGTCATCTCTTCTCCTCCCAGCCCCACATGCTCTGACCCCTCTGGGCGCCCCAGACTCTGGGATCCCAGAGCGGTCCTCTCTGTGCTGGCTCACCGCTGCATCCCCCAGGGGCAGCACAGTGACTCGACAGGAGTGTGTGTGGTGAGCTGATTCCAGTGTCTTCATGCAGGGATAAGCCACATGAGGACAGGCCCCTCCCACCCTTGCCTGCACACAGTAGGTCCACACTGTGTGCCTGAGTGGAGAGCAGGGGGAAGTCCTGCGGCTCCTCTAGCCTTGGTTTCTTCACCCGCCAACAAGGGCCTTGGATTACATGTTTCAAAGGCGATTTCTTCTGGCTCTAAATCGATTCCTGTATTTACCTGAACAGGTCAAGGATGCTTAAGGCCTGTGGGCAAAAGGCAGTAAGAGCAAGGTCTGACCCTGCGCTGCCTGCTCACCAGCTGTGGCTCTCTTCTCCACGCCTCAGTCGCCAGATCTGTGAATGGGATCTTTTCTGCCTCCCTGGATTGCTGTGAACGTGTGCTGGGAGGAGGATGGCAGAGCGCTTACCTGGACTGTGGTGGCACTGCCTCATCTCATCTGCACATTGGGAATAGTGTGTGTGTGTGTGTGTGTGTGTGTGTGTCAGGGTGGCAAGAAGGAAGTTTTCAACCCACGTGCAGAGGATGGGAATAAATTTAGCAAGTGTGTATTCTGTACCACCGTTTACGGAGCCCACGCCCTTCCCGATGACATTTGCTGCAGTCCCGGGAGGTCGCCTCTCTATTCCCATTTTCCAGTTGAGCCGAGAGAACGGGATTTGGTAAATTTATAAACCCCTGGTGGAAAGTGCTTGGCACCGCTCCGGGAGCATAGTAAGCGCCCAGTGGAAACGATACTTTTATGGTCACGATGAGAAAACTGAGCACGTCCTCTTCCCAAGCCGAGATTTTAGGACGCGGGCGCCCTGGCCCTTGTCGCGCGGCCCAGGGCCTCTGGGCGCCGGCGCCTCCCCAAGTCCGCGGGGCTCGCCAGGGCGGGGCGAGCCCGGGGAGGGCGGGGAGGGGGCGGAGCGAGCTCGGGAAGGGCGGGGCCTTGGGGACCGGGAGGGGCGGGGCCGGAGGAGGGCAGTGCGGGGCCACGGCGGCACGGCCCTATCACCGTCGCCGGCCGCCGAGGGGCGTGGCCTCTGGGCTCCGGGCAGCCTACAAGAGGCCGCGCGCTGTGCCCCCAGACCCAGTGCATCCCTCCGGGGCCCGGTTGTCGTGTGTTCCGTGACCGGGCGTCTCTTCCCCCTGTGCCCGCTGCGCCCGCTGCACCCGCTGTACCCGCTGTGCCCGCGCTGCCGCATCCGTTGCCGCTGCTGCTGGACGCGGGAGACGCCGGCGAGGTGGTGATTGGAGCCCTGCGGAGGTAAGTGTGACTTAGATTCCTCTCCTCTGCAAGTTGCGATCAGCTCCCCGTAATCCCTGAGGAGCAGCGAGAGCAGATGCCGTCTCTTCGGGCTTACTGTGTGCAGGCACTAAGCTGAGCGCGCTGCCTGCATCTCAGAACTGGGCTCAGCAGCATGCCCTTTCACAGATGGAGAAACTGAGGCTCAGCGAGCCAAGCTGTTTGCCCAAGACCTCACGGCCAGGAAGTGAGAGACTCAAAGCTGGTCTGACCACAGATCTGTGCTCCCAGGCTGTGTACTCTTGCCTTCATTGTGCAATTCGCTAGCATCTGTTGCGTTCCATTGTACAAAGTTCGTATCAATAAATGGAAAGCTGATGGTGTGGCTGTGATAGGAGTTTGAATGTGTTCTACCCACGTGTGGACGGCCAGGATGATCCTAAGGGCATGTGCATTCTGCTGCGCAGTTTACAGGGCCACGCCCCTTTAGGATTTCATTTGCAACAAACCTGCAAGTTAGCCTTCCTCTTCCCATATTTCAGATGAAGACACTGAGGGTCAGAGAGGTGAAGTGAGTTGTCCAGGCAGGACCAGGGCTAGAACCCAGCTCTAGCTCCCTCCAAAGCTCCAGATGGACGTATCCAGGTGTGGGGCATGTCAGAGTTCCTGCAGGTTTGGGAACATGTTCCTGGGTCTCTTCAGCCAGAGGGGCCATCTGCACAAACTCCTTGTAGAGGAGAATTGTGCTGGGAGCTGAGGGCTCAGCTCTGGGGTCATAGGGAGATTGGCTGCCCTAGATGGACAAAGCCAGGGCCAGCCCTTTGTGCGGCACAGACCCAGAGCCTCCCTTGCCAAGGGCTGGGCTGGTGGACAAGCCAGAAAGGGCTTAGCTGATGGCTGCTCATCGAAGTCTAACTTGAATTCAGTGTCTTTTAGCCAAAAGATGAGTTGCTGCTCTGGTTGAAAGAAGCAACTGGAAACCTGTGCAAATGCCCAGCTCACCTTCCAACCAAGAGTGGACTTGTGAGTTTATGCCTTGAGCCTTTGGGCTCCTTGCCTGGCAGAATAGGGTACGCCTGCCTTCCCCAGCCGGGTCGGGGCATCTAGGGTCTAGAGTCTGACACATGAGAGACCAGGGTCCTGCAGAACAAGATGAGGGGCATGCCTCCTTCCCCAGATAGACCGAGAGGGGACCTCCCAGGGCTCTTGGTGTTTTGTACACTTGATCTTCTGCTTCTACCCCTGATCTGGTGGTTTCCACAGGGGACAAGGAGCAGAAAGTGTGGGAGCTGTATTGCTGGTGTGAGGTGTGAGGCCCCGTGCCATGCACTTTACCTGCATTATCATCCCTGCAACACACCTGGGCAGTAGGCCTCTTGATCTCCATTTCACAGATGAGGAGACTGAGGCTCAGAGAGGTGAAGTGCATGCTCAGGTCCCATAGCTGGTGTGTGATGTTGTCACCCCTAGGTCTGTCTGGCTGCAGACCCTACACTCTTAACTACTGGGTCCTGCCTCCTTTAAGACACTTCTCTGCCCAAACACTGACTCCACCTCTGGACCTGACCTTCACACAGGTATTCCTTTGTCCGAGAGGGGCTCCGGGTAAAACAGCGGTAAGCAGAGTTGAGTCCAAGCCCCGAGTCCCTGACAATACACCTGGGGAAAATGAAGAGAATAATTTTGATTTTCACAGAGTCTCTTAACAAGTAAGAGTAGGAATAGTAATAATAACACTTATAACCATACCAGCAGCCGACATTTATCCGGCACTTACTATGGGCCAGACGTGCCTGGGGTTTTACACGGATGAAATCACTGACTTCTTTATGAGGTGGGTGCTGGACCATCCTCCTTTTTACAAGGAGGAAAGGGAGGCTCAGAGTGAGTAAGGCATGGACCCAACATGACACAGCCAAGGCGGCAGAGAGCTGCCGTCCTGGCTGGGCCCCACCCCGGATTCTGGAAGAAGGTGCTTGTCCGGGGCTAGCCACATACTGGCACAGCAGAGCTTGCTGCTGGTCAAGGCTTCTCGTGCCATGTTGGATCTGGGTCTCTGGCCCCCGTTGGGGGTGGGCCTGGAGGGAGAATGCGCCAACACGGGGGCTCCAGCTCCACTCTGCGACAGGTACCGGTATCAGTCGCAGAGAGCCCTGCCCCGGGACTCAGCTCAAAGCTGGCTCCCACAGTCCCGCCTCCGGACTGCAGAGGAGAGCTGGCTTTTTTTTTCCCCCAAAGCCCCAGTAGATAGTTGTACGTCATAGTTGCACATCCTTCTAGTTGCCGTATGTGGGACGTGGCCTCAGCATGGCCGGAGAAGTGGTGCGTCGGTGCACGCCCGGGATCCGAACCCCGGGCCGCCAGTAGCAAAGCGCACGCACCTAACCGCTAAGCCACAGGGCTGGCCCAGAGGAGAGCTGGCTTCGTGGGGGAGGGCCTGGAGCTTTGGCAGAAGAGCATGATCCCTCTGAAAGCCCCCACCCTTCCTCTCTCCCTCAAAGCCCCCACATTGAATATCTGGCTTTTGTAGGTTGCATTTGAAAGCTGGCTTTTAGAGGCAGGACCCCCAACGCTGTTCCTCTTTGGCCCTGCGGGAGCTGGAACATTTCTTCTTTCTGTCACCAGTGTAATTTGCTATGTATGGGAGGTGCCTCTGTGTCTGCTTGCTCCCCCGACCTAGGAGGCTTTTTTTTTCTTTTTTTTTTTTTGCAAACTCACTGGTTTTTGATCAGTCCCAGATGTGCAAACCCAGCATCACTCACAGGGGCTGACGGCTTGTCAAGAATGGAAAACACAACACAGGCATCGTTACATTTCATCTTCAGGTCATTGAGCTGAACAGATGCTCAGACCTTCATGGAAAGGGGATTGGAGCTCCTCGTAAAGTCCTAAGTAGAGCACGCTCTGTTCTGGAACTGGGAGGGTTGAGCAGATCTGGGTGGTAGTTGGTAGGGCCAGCCATGCCCTTTTTTCCCTTTTTTTTCCTCCTTGAATAAAATTGTTTTATTGTGGCAAAATACACATAAATATAAAATTTACCATTTTAACCATTTTAAGGTATATAGTTAAGTGGTATTTAGTACATTTGCAATGTTGTGCAACCATCACCACTATCTTAATTCCAAAACATTTTCATCATCCCAAAAGGAGACCCCATGGCCATTTTGAGCAGTCACTTCCCCATTCTCTCCTCCCCGCCCCCAGCAACCACTAATCTGCTTTCTGACTCTATGGATTTGCTTATTCTGGACGTTTCATATAAAAGGAATCACACAATAAGGGCCATTTGTATCTGGCGTCTATCACTGAGCATGAGGTTTTTGAGGTTCATCCGTGTTGTAGACTGTGTCAGTGCTTCATTCCTTTTTTATGGCTGAGTAATGTTCTGTGGTATGTATGGACCACATTTCGTTCATTTATCCATTCTTCCATTGATGGACATTTGGGCTGCTTCCACCTTTTGGCTATTGTGAATAATGCGCTATTGACAGTCATGTACATGTTGTTGTTTGAGCACCCGTTTCCATTTGTTTTGGGTCTACAGCTAGGCTAGAATTGCCGGGTCATGGTGACTTTATGTCTCACTGACTGAGGAACCCATGTCCCCTTTCCTGACGTCCTTCTTGAAGAAGCATCAACTCGGGTCATCTCATTCCAGAATGAGTCAAGGCCCTCTGCTGTGGGTGCAGGGAAATCTGGCATCTGGGTGTCTGGGGGAAGTGTTGGCATTCCACCCAGGGTCATGGCAGCAACTGGCAGAGAATCCTGTCTCAGATGTTGTTCTGTGGGAGCCGTATTTGCACCCCAGGCTGTACAATTGTGGGTACTCGCAGACAGACACCCCCCTTTTAAGGCTATGAGGACAGACAGTTTCTTGTGATCCAGCCTGAGGGAGATTTATCTTCTCTGATTGTCTCAAGTGCTGCGTCAGCTTCGACAAAAACCACAGATTCAGGGGGAAAAGAAATGTCCTAATGAGGGTTACGCAACTTCTGGACCATCATTTAAAAAATATTATAACTTATGAAATCCCACATTTTCAATCTGAATTTCTGGACCATGTCCCATTGTGAGTCCAGGATGGCAATATCCCAGAGGGAAAAAGAATTGAGCTGCCATTTTGCCTGCAGTCAAATGGTCCTGGAATTGACGCTGACTCAAAGTTCTTTTGGATTGGAAAAAAAAACACACTCAGATCTCTGTGAGATTGGGAGCTGGCATCCGCTGGCATCTGCTGAGACTGACTTGATGAGAGCCTAGGAAGTCCTTCTAGAGCAAACAGGCAGCCGCCTTCTGCTGGCAGGGACAGGTGATGGTGAGGAGTTGTCGAGGGTGCACCAAGGAAAGGGACTGTGTGTGCAAAAGCCTGGAGGTGGGGGGGGGCCTGGCACCCTTGGAGAATGGCGAGGAGTTCCGTGTGGTGGAATCTAAGGGTCAGGCTCAGGGCGGCATGGCTCTGCCTTTTGGGTGGGGTGAGCTATACTGAGCCTGGAAAGTAGTACAGGCAGCCCATCTCTGCTGGTCCCCACAGTGACTGAGCATGTGCACACGCCCAGCAGCAAAGGCCCCCAGTCCAGGAGACGTTCTCTCAACTCTCTGTTGTCCTTCTACTCATGGCAAGGCGAATGGCTCAGGTGGTGTCTGTCCCTAATGCCCCCCCGCCAACCCTCCACTACAACAAAGAGGGCATGCTCTCTACAATAAAGCCTTTGGCGGTATCAGCACCCAGCAGGAAGATACCGACTTTGTTCAGTTTTCTTGGTGCTTGATTTTACTCCCGCCTTCCATTCGAGGCAGAAGTGCTCAGCTTCTCTGTACAGGGTGGTGATAGAAAGTGACCTTTCACAGGTGAATTTCTTTGAACCCTCAAAGCAGACCAACTTAAATAAAAATATGGAATATGTACTTATACAGGTAGACGGTAGGAAGGTGGGCAAAGCTTGGGAAGGTGTGTGCCAAGGGTTGGAGTTCGGGAAACACTGGGCTGAGGTGGAGCGAGAGGAGATTGGAGAGGCTGTTAG